TCGTCCGCTGCTCCGCCCCAGCCTCTGCCTCTGCCTGACCTGTTTCCGAAGAATCCAGATTGCGGCTCTTGGAGCTCCGGCCAGGGCCGTGTTGGATCGCCGATCGAAGCTCCGGTCCTGTGAGTCTTCTCTTCTTTGACTTGACTTTCCCCTTCACAAAACTGATCCGAATTTCGTTTAATTTCATTCGTTTTCCGTTATCTTCTGATTCTAATTGGAAATTAGTAATTTGTCCCTACGAAGGGGGAAATCGGTTGACCTAATTTCTCTCTTTTCGTAATTCTGCTCTGCAAACTGTCAGGAAGGGCGCTGATCAGGGGGCAACAAATGTGAGTAAAAGCTTGGCCAACAATCAAAGGCGAGTTGCCGTAGATTTAACCTTAGAAGTTGTTAATGGCAATACAGGATGGAGTGGTGGTACCACATTTAGAGGCCCTCAAAGCCTCTCTGTGAACTCAGGGAGATCGAATAAGGAATTTTTTTTCAGTTGTTTGGATTACCCTCACAACATCAAAGGCAGGGGATCCCCAACTCATCTGAATCTTGAAAGGGGTAACCATAATTGGACCCCGAAATCTTCCTCGAGGAGTGCGCCAACAAGCATTTTACCGAGTCCTGCCGTGAGCCCTCGAAGAGCATACACCGGAGATATCTTTGCTTCTGGTTTGACTCGCCACGAACATCAGGAATCTGCTTCCACTATTTCTCCCAAGGTAGCACCCCTAAAAACTGCTCCTAGTTCTCAGTATTCTCCTCTCCACAGCCCGACAGCTCGAAGTTCCATAAGCAATCATAGATCTTCTAATGATATGCCATTTCCTCTGCATCATAAGTTACAAAACGATAGTAGTATAGATCGGTCTGAAAACCATGGTCACGTCAATGCCCACCCATTGCCTCTTCCTCCTCCATTAGTAGCCTCTTCACAACCATCTCCACAATCTCATCCGCCCAATGTTCATAATTTTATTGAAAAGCCACATATTTCATCTATGAAAGGTCAGTGGCAGAAAGGAAAGCTTATTGGGCGCGGTACATTCGGAAGTGTTTATCTTGCAACCAACAAGTAAGAATGTAAACTAAACTTTGTAGTGTTGTTATGGTATTTTTGAAATTAAGCATTTTTTGAAGTCATCCTCATAGTTACTTGCATACTTTCCAGAGAGACTGGAGCTTTATGTGCAATGAAAGAAGTTGACCTCATTCCCGATGATCCTAAATCTGCTGAATGTTTAAAGCAACTAGAGCAGGTATCATATCAAGTGATCTACTTTCTTTAATTCTCATGTAGCATGCATTTGCCTGTCGGTATTTTAGTTAATCCTCACAATGTGTTGTCCATTTTATGAGCAACCTTCAATATTCTTTTGCCTTGTCTTTACTATTATGGGCAAAACGAGTTATGAGCATAAAACTTTCCATGGCTATGTGAGAGCCCTATTAGAGGTATAGGGGAATATTAGTTTGTTAGTATGAAGGGGTAGTATGGTAATTAGTTAGGGGTAAGATGGATATAAATAAGGGTAGTAGGGGAGAAGGAGAGCATCTTTTGGAATAGTATTTTGGTGAAGAACTTGAGAGAGTTCTTGGGAGAGAGATAGTCCTCTTCAAAGGCTATCGATATTGTAATTTCTCTTTTGATATTGCAATATAACTAATCTTGTTAGGTTCTTGTATTTGGGATCCTAACAGGCTACTCGTACTTGAGACGGTCGAGTCAGCATAAAAACTTGCTTCCTGGTGCACCATACATATTCATTAGGTTATCTTTATCCAAATTATCCTGTCCTTTTAAACATGAGTAAGCCACCTATGGCTGTACAAATTTCTCTAAAGCTATCCAAGTCTTACCTCCATCTGCTGCTCTCTGTGAATTGAAAAGGTCAAATGTAGGAGTTTTTACTATTCTTCTCTTTATCATACTACCTAGAACATCTTGAGCTTGCTTTTTACGGGCTTTGATGCTATAAGCATGCGCAGATCTAGCATTAATTGATCCATCATATGGTGTTTTCCTGCTATCTAACTTCTTTATTGTCTCAGGAAATTAAAGTTCTCAGTCAACTTAAACATCCAAATATTGTACAGTATTATGGAAGTGAAACAGTAAGCGTTCTTTCTTATCTTCTGCATCAGGAATTTACTTCAACTTCTGTGGGAATTAACAAGTCTAAAATTCTGGGTTCTTTTTTGGCATGTAGATTGATGATCATTTCTACATATATTTGGAGTATGTTTATCCTGGTTCAATAAATAAATATGTCCGTGAACGTTGTGGAGCTATTACAGAATCAATTGTTCGCAATTTCACCCGCCATATTCTCTCTGGACTGGCTTACTTGCATAGCACAAAAACAATTCACAGGTGCTAGACAAATTCTTTCTCCTGGATTCATAATCTTCGTGCTATGTTTTTCACTCCCGTTGTTGAAGACAAGATGAAATGGCAAAAGAAAGTCATTGGATATGATTTTGCTTTTTCTATGCATTATTTTGCTTACTTCCATAGTATATAACTTTTTGAATTCTTTTAATTTTATTGTGTTTTTGACAGGGATATCAAAGGTGCAAACTTACTAGTCGACTCATCGGGTGTTGTCAAACTTGCAGATTTTGGGATGGCAAAACATGTGAGTTTTCAAGTGTTAATGAGTACCATCTTAACTGTTTCCAATGGTTTTTAACCTTTAAAATAATAGTATAACCTCATTTTCGCAGCAATTTCCCCCCCTTCACGCATTTCTTTTCATCATTCTGATTGCTCAAATTTTGATAATTATATCCTTATAAGAATTTTGAATATATTGGAAGAGAATAAGATGTTGTGGATGTTTCAAGTTTAACTGTTAACTATTTTGAATATTGTGCTTTCATTTTCATAAATATTCTTCTATTTACCAATCTCTTGTTTCTCCATTCAGCTCTCAGGGCAGTATGATCTCTCTTTAAAGGGTAGTCCATACTGGATGGCTCCTGAGGTACGTGTCACAATCAACTTTATTTTTTAAACCACATGTTCTCTTTTAACTTTGTGGATCCATTTTCAGGTCATAAAGGCTGCTATGTTGAAAGATGCCAACCCTGATCTTGCCTTGGCAGTTGACATATGGAGTCTGGGTTGCACCATAATCGAAATGCTGAATGGAAAACCTCCCTGGAGTGAGTTTGAAGGGGTGAGCCTGTTATTTAGTTTTCGTTCTTTCTACTTTGTAGATCTTTCGTAAAGAAAGAAAAGTGTGTCTTTATTTGTAAGGAAAGAGATGTCGACGATGATTTATCATTTTCTTTACACAAAACTTAGCTGCTGCCGAGTGACTGATGCATGACAAGAAAAGGTTTAGTGATAAGTTTGGTCCCTTAACTTTCTGTGTTGTGCTTAATAGGCCTACGAACTTTATAAAATGTCTGATAGGTCCTAAACTTTTAATGTTTGATAGGTCCTAAACTTTTAATGTTATGCCTACTGAACTTTTAGTTTTTCTCAACTCAATAACCTAGGATAGAATCCTGTATCTGTAGGTTCTTTATTTTTTAATTTTGTGTTTAATAATTACTTGAAATTTTTTAAATGTCTGATAAATCAGAGATTTATTGAACACAAAATATATAAGTTCATCAACTTATTAGACATTTTTTTAACCTCGGGGATCTAGTAGACACAATATATAGAAGGTTTAAGGACTTATTAGACAATTTTTATAGTTAAAAGAACCTATTAGACAAACTCTTAAAGTTTGAAATATTTTTAAAAAATGGAGTGAGCAGCTAAGTTATATGCCCCTTTCTAAAAGATATTTCAACTAATGATAATTTACATTTTCAACTTTTCAGCATCAAGCTATGTTCAAGGTGTTGAATAAAACCCCAGCTATCCCGGAAAAGCTATCTCCAGAAGGGAAAGACTTCCTCCAGTGTTGCTTTGAAAGGAATCCAGCCGATAGACCAACAGCCATGGTGCTCCTCGACCATCCTTTCTTAAGATCTTCAAATGACTCTAATCTTCCAATCCCCACATCAGCATTTTCAACAATGAACCTCTTGGTTAGTTTTACTTCTAGAAATTTATCGATTGCTTTTATGCCTAAAAGCGTCTCATTAATTTTCGTATTCTACGCTCTCTTAGGAAAAATTATTGAGTCCAAAGGACCGCCTTAATCCCAAAGGAGATCAGACGCAGAACTCTCCCGGAAATTCGGTCAAGAATGATTATCTATCATGTCGTAGGTAGCTACACTAACTCTTGCCCATGCTCTTATAAACCACATAATGATGAAGCACAAGCTTGTAAATATTCTCTTCTGGTTTTTCCTTTCTGTTTATCCGTTGTACTTTGATATCGATTCTTGTAAGTTTACCTCACAACTGACTCCCATTATAATCGAATCGCAGCCCTTCAACGAACATCTCGAGCAATATTCCCGCTGGTGCTGCTAACAACCATCACTTTGCTCTTTCAAGGACTCATAAGAGGGAAGTGCCGCACCTCTGAACCGCGGTTGTGGATATTTACAGGCAAATACTAGACCAAGTGAGGAAATTAGCCGCTCTCTGCAGAAGACCACATGGAGGTGGGATAGAGATCATCTTCCCCGCACCTTGGTCTAATAACAGAACTTATTCTCTCTTGAGCAAATTCCTCATAGGTCTTAGAAACCGCCAAACTGGAGGTCTTTGCCAATGTTCGAGCAATTGCCCTAACGTTTTTTTGTACTAATAGAAATGATATCATACTTGTAAGACGAAGACACTAGGAAAAGAAGAGATGAACATTCTTTTTGTACACATTCTATAAGCAGGATTAGCTTTGGATCTGTATATATTTAGGTTGCATTTGCGTTCTCCCATTCACTAACAGTGCAACTCACAGAAGGCAAGATGCCATTTTTAATGATCTTGACATCTCAGTTTTGTTCCACGTCCCAATTTTTCTTGCTTGGTAAGACTTATATTCTTTTTCTTGAAGAGATTAAACTATTTCAAAACCCAAGCAGCAAGCAGCAGCAAAGAGATACAAAAGGGTTGGAATTCCCAAGAACATGGAAGGTGCTCTGCTCGGTCGCTGTCGAAATGAATTCTGTATGAACTGTCGCAAAATGAGCTGCTCAAAACCTTATCAACAGGTAAATGGTAATAAATTCCAAAAGCCTTTTGATCTTCTCTGATATCTGAACTTTCGTTGATTCAAATTCCATGGACTGTGTTTAATCTTATAAGTTATTAAGTTTTAAGTTACAGACCAAAGCAAAGGAAAAAGAAAGAGATTAGAAATATATGTTAAATCACCAGTCGTTTGAATATCATCTTCAGAGGCTTCACGTGACAGTACTGAGCCATTACAGCCAATGAAACCTAGCCAGTTTCTGTAGGCCTGAAACAGATTCGATAAAATTATGCTCTGTTGCACTTATTATTTTGTTTGTTTATTCATCTTCTTGTTAAAAAACAGTAACTTTTGAATTATGTACAGTTAAGGTTTCTTTTCCGTAGATTCTTTACATGAGCAGAATAGTCCTGAAAAAAGCTCATTTGGGTCATTTGACCATTTTTATTTTATTTTATTACTATATATACAATAAAAAAGGGCATAATCTGGGAAAGAGATTGGACTTTTAACACTCCCAAAGATTCCAACTTTTCTGATTACAATTGCCTTTTTCTTTTCGTCCTTTTACAGTGCTCAGGGTTCTTATTGTATCCATCAAAATTACAGTAAAAGAACCATCTTTTTCTCCATTGGTCACTCTTTACAATATCTTTGCTTTGCCTTTCTCTTCTTCTTCACTCCATTTTTTCAGAGCTTCAAAAATCTCTTCTTCAGGTTTAGATTGGCTTTAATAAACCTGTGGCCGTCGCCGGAGCATTACAGCTCTCGCTGACTGAATCTGGGCAATGTCGCTCCCAATTGAACAACAATCTCCGCCGGCGCCGGGAATGCAGCAGCCGTACGGCGGCCATCTCAGCAACGGCTCCGTGGGTCCGGTCATCGGCGTCCTCGTCGTCATCATTGTCTTCGCCGTGGTCGCCGTCGTGGTCGGGCGGCTGTGCTCGGGGAAGACCATCATGGGCTACGGCCATTTCGATTTGGAGAGCTGGGCGGAGACCAAATGCTCCTCTTGCATCGACGGAAGAATCAGCCCGCCGCCCCCGAGGGCCAATGTCTCCGCCGCCACCACCGCCACCGCTCTTCCGGCGACAATGGCCGTCCAAACCCAGCAAGAAACTAAGCAAGAAGAACCAGCTTCTCAAAATCCATCTGCCACCAACGCTTGATTTCTAAAGATGGGAGTCGCAGAGCCCAAATTTTCTGTGTATTTTCCAATTTTTTCGACCTCGTCTAATTCTTTTCTTGCTCCGCTGTCAGCATTAGAAAATTTGTGAACACCCTCTAAATTGTTTTGCCTTCACTTGCCATTTTCAATCAGCTGTGCTCGATCAACTTGGCTATTTTAATTTTTAAATTTAATATTAACTGCGATGTTGGGGAGAAATTGGTTCATCCGTCTTCTATATCTCACAATTGGTATGAGAGGGCTACAGGTTCTATTTTCACTTTGATTTTCAATTTTAGCCCCCTTTATATGGCATTTCACTTTCACCCTTAAACCTTTTTTTTTTTTGTATTTATTTTTGCTCCTTTATAGTATGCTTTTTTCTCTCTTTTTGCCTTATATACTCCTTGATAGTCTACTTCATAGTTCAATTTTACCAGTTGTTTTTAATAAAAGAAACGTAGTGGGTAGTTAAAGCCTGCTAGATATAATTGATATTTTGTGCTAGATTTGAAAATCCTCTTATAAGAAAGAAAGTTCTGCATTTTTTAAAGAGGAGGATGATGCAAGATATGACTTGTATATAACGTTGCAACTTTGAAAAGAATAATACTTAAATGCAAAAGGATAAATTGACTTCCAAAAAACTAACAAGAACTATCAAATTTTTAGTCGTGGTGAACATGAAGATAGTTGTGACTATTCCTTTCAAAATTTGTTCGATGATGTTAAAGAACAATATAGTTTGTACTCTCTATTTCATTGTGAACTTTTTAGAGAATCGGATCCATCCATCTCATCAAATATCAATTGGAATCAACTGAAATCTTAAACTTTTAGTCGATCACTCCAAAGTATTGGAATCACATGTAGATACAAAAGATAAAAATGGCAACCCAATATTATTTGATAATGGATACAAATTCATTAATTCCATTTATCCCTCCCACCACTCAACCTAAATCTGATGGATTAGATAATTTTAATTCACCTATTGAAGGAAATGACAACCCGGGAGTTCAAACACAAATTCTATTGCTCTTATACCATATCAAGGAGGCATAAATCACCACTCAACACAAACACTTAATTTATGAAATGAGGAAATTTAATTCACTTATCAGATATCTTAACGACCACCCATAGTTTTGATCAGCTTTTCCTTTTAAAATGGAAATATTCCTTTCCTGGGAAAAGAAAACGACAGGTTATCTTGGGGAACACTGGCATCAGAGCACATTAAATGCGATAATCGCAAGCAACAACCAGCTTTTATTTAGCCAACGTGCAGTGGCAGCAGAAGCAAATGTATACCAGAATTAATGAATGAAGGCGCTGGAGGTTTTATTTTATGTGAAGCCTTTCAAACATTCATCATTTTCCTTTGGGCTGATTCAGCTGACTGAGCATTCAATTTTCTACCACATATTCTCTCTAGAATTCTGGTCCCAATAATTTTCAGAGCTCTTCGTAAAACCCATGACCATTATGCACTTAAATGAGAAGCATGAGAAATATAAGTTGAGATTGCCCAAGCTTTATTCCAGCTTTCTTTCTACAGAGGGAGAGGGGAGAGAAGCTTTTTTGTACCTGATTAATAATAATGGTCTAGTGAAAGCTGGTCTTTTTGGAGACAAGCTTTTGATGTGCCTGAATAATCATTATAATCTACTGAAAGCTAGTCTCTTGAAGCCAACCTTGTAAAGGAACCATCCATGCCAACCCATTCCAGACCTGCTCGACGCCAAGATCATAAAAAGTTTAACATCTCTAATTCTTGTTACTTTTAATAAAGAAATGAAAATGAAAAATGACAAGATTGTCTTATTCAAAACCCAATTATGAAACCCCTTCTCTCCCACTTCATGCTTTGGAAAGTCCCGTGATAGGAATGATTTTAGGTAATTAGGGATATTAATAGAATAATAAGGTATGTTAGTAATTAGTTAGAAGGAATTTGTCATGAACCAAAGTGGCGGGGAAAGGAGGGGAGGGAGACAATTGTTTATTGTGATTTAGGTTTGAGTAAGAATACTCGAGGAGATGGTCCAAGTGCCTCAAATTACTTGATAGTTATAGTAATTTCTTTTATTTTTTATATTTCAATATATAGTAATTTTTTCGATTTTTTATATTTCAATATATTTCTATCCTACAGTTGTCAGAGTGAGCGGCATTTTCACATCTTCGTAGGTTGAAATGGCAAATGATGGGAAGAGAAAAGGTTGCTTTTTTTAGGGTACCCTCCACTATTCTTCTTAGCCAAGTAAAGTGGAATGAGAGTTTCAGCTTCTTGTGGACACCCATTGTGAACCAGAAGTCATACACAGAACCCCAAGTGTAATCCGTGATGTGCAATTTCAAGAAGATGTGCGGACAAAGTACAAGATCTGCTTTGGAAATAACTAAAATTCTTACTGATGCCATCTAACTCACAGCTTGCACAAATATGCGGAGGGCTCGGCAAGGCGGGTGGTGGTGGCAACAAGCTCAATGTGGCTTATTAACTGATCCAAGGAGACTTCTTGGGCGCTTCAGATTGAGAAGATGAGAAAGACCAGCAATTACGTGCAGCCGACTGCTAGGAATACCCGTCTTTGCTAGTGCCTTGCCGTGTTTGTCCAGCAACACGAAGCAAGGAACGTATCTAATGTCATAATGAAGCAGCTGCATTAAAATGTAGCAAGATTAACAACAAGCAATGCTAACTCAACACTTGATCGAGCACAGGAGCCAATTCATTTTATACAATCGGTTAATGAAAAAGTATTGACAAAACTATAGTGTGAATCCAGAAAAAGATCAGATAAGCTGTTAACAGGCAGCATGATAGGCGATCGGTAGGTGAACTGAATGGACTTGAAGAGTAATCTTCGGGATGATTTCCTATTCACCTTCTTATAAAGATGCTTTTGTTATCACAATAATGCACCACAAATTCATATGTACTGCTACTTTTATATGGCTAATATACAAACAAAATTGCTTCACTATTAATATCTCATAGTTGCAAACAGCATTTTCTACCAGATGTGACATTGATCCAAACTGCAAGATCACCAAGTTATTAAGGAAAATGTAGCAGAGAGAATGTTAACAAATTAATACCACAAATCCTTTACCAACTAAGTTACAGTTAAATAATACTAGATCAACTAATCTGAAAACAGTTAATTGCGACAACCAAGAGACCAAGAGAACACAACTATCAAGATTAACTAGAAGTCCTAAAGCCCCAAAACTAAATATATTCATGTGATTAAAGTGGGAAAGTAGAGCACCTCAGGCAGCCATTTCTCATTCTCTGCATCTGCCATCACAATGCTGAGCCAGTCTGAATTTCTTGCCTCCATCTCCATAACAACATCCAGCAAGGAATTGCAGAGCCGACATTTGGGCGAGTAGAACTCGATCACCGTAGCTTCTTTCCCACTGGCCAATGCCGATGCAAATGCTCTATGCTCGGCCTCTCCTTGCTCTTCAGGAGTCAACTTCTTTCTAGGCAGAGATTTCTTATTTCCACCATTTGAGGCTTCGAAATGCAATGGCTTAAAAGCATTGATCCATGGAGGTGAAGACTTTGAAACTTTGTTAACAAAATTGAAAGCAAAGGCACCCACGTTTTGCAATGATTTGAACAGCCAAGGACCCTCAAACGAACAGTCAAAAGGATTTTTAGGGTCTGCATCCCATGGCCATTTGAAGCAAAAGAAAGGCTGTTTGGGCGTCGAACCCATTATATTTTTTTACTTTCCTCTTCCCCCTTCCTCTAAAAGTTATCACCCAACCCCTGCAAATGAAATTGCCATTGCTAAAGACATTCAGGATTGTAATATCTAACCAAAGAAAAAAAAAAGTCTGTGCAAGAAAAGTTCAAGATTAAATTATAAATTTAGCCTCAAAGATGGTGCTTGTTCAGCCCTGGTGAAGTTTGAATTATGATTGTGACATGATATGCATATTAGACACACATTGGCTGATTTGACATGTCATAACAGTAAATGACAGAAACGAGTGGAAAACTAAACAAAATAACGTACAAGTGAAACATATCAAATCTTTTATAAATCGTAACACTCTTCACTTCTTATTGTCATTTGTCTGCAATATCATGCTATAACCAGCCAACATTTGTCTAAAAAACATATTATGTCAACTACTATATATATTATAATTCAAAATTCAGCTACTTAATTTCAATTATTTAAAATTTAGGAACTAAGCATAACTAAGTACATGACTAAATTTGCAATTTAACCAAAACTCAAATATTATCTGCTAATTTCTGAAACTCAGCCAATATTTTCGCCATTTCCATGGATTTAAGTTCACATGCCAACAATCAAATATCACTGAAAAACTTGAATCTTATTCCAGAATTCCAAGGGGCTTATGATTCTATTCTAAACCTAAGTTTTGAAACTTTTCCTTCCACTCCACTCGTGTGGGTTTCCATAACCCAAGTAAAGAAGGGGAAATGAAAGAATCACAGAGAGAAAAGAAGAACGTCTATTACCCTATTGTGCTTCCAGAAGCTCGGTACTAAAAAATCCTCAGTGAAAACCTGAAAGGAGTTTCAGATGCTTCGCCTGGAAGAGAAGGGCATTTCCCGACACACTGAGAAAGGAAACGACATGTCGTCTCGCCTTGCGGTTCCTCTCGATATTATTCGTCGGGCACAAGGAGAAGGATGTGAGAACAACTATCGAAGCAGCCAAGCAGGGCGAGGTCAGTATCATCCTCGCCTCCATTTCTGTCTCTCCATCTTTCACAGAGGAGGGTCAGACGTTGGTTTCTGTTTCTGGGCCAAATTATTGGGCCTTGTATTCTAAGTGTAAATCTGGTGGGCTTTAGTATTTTTAGCCTAGTAACTACAATTATATTTTTACAATTAAGAAAAGGGAATGCATAACAGAAATAATTTTTATAAAAAAAAAATAGTTATCAAATATTTAATTGCGGTGTGTTATCATTTATCTCTATCTTTACAACAATAGCATAATAGTAAGAAAAGCGCACACACAAGAGTTTTGACGCTTGAGTAAAAGGATATATAAATGAATCAACATCGCATCTAAATGAGATGAATTTTAAGGTTATACAAAAATGATTAAAAAATACTTAAAAGAATTAATAGTTACTCACCACATCTACTAACTCAAGTGGCACCTTTCTTTTTCTTTAGTGGCTCCATCATAGAATAATTTAAGCATCTTTGTCTTTTGAATAAATTTCAAATCCTAGTCAAATCATGGGCTTGAGGCGTTATAATAGTATAGTATTGTTGCACAAAAATAATATTAAAGTGCATTACTACAATTATTGTTGTCAAAGGAGATAGAAAAGAAGGGATGAGGGCACTCTTAATTTATCATAACTCGGTAAATTTATATAAAATATTTAATATTTTGTAATTTTATTCAAGTTTTCCATTCCCTAAATTTTTAGAAAGCAAAGATTATATATACTCTATTAAAATTTCTTTTTAAAAAAAGTAGTTTGGTAAAAACTAGTTTTCAAGAAATGCAATTGAATGTCTTTTTTTTAAAGAGAGCAATTGAATGATTTTCTATTTCGCTAGCTATTGAAGTTCTCTCTTTCTCTCCATGTTTTCTTTTCTCGATAAAAGGTTTAGTGGTGAATAATATAAATTTCCTACTATTCAATATCAACTATAAAGTATTGTCTACCAATGTGTATGAAAAGAATAATAACTTCATTTGTTATTTTAAGAAAATTTATTTGTGAAAACACGTCAAAAAACACCATGCTAGAATGGTTATTTAAATATTTATTTTAAAAATTAAAAAATATTTTAAAGACATTTTAAAAAGAATCCTACATTCACATGTAGTCACACTTTATTGAGATGTGAAATGTTACGTCAATAATAAATTTATATTTTTTTTCAATACAACACGTGAGGATTATGTAGACGATATCTAATAAGAAGCCGAAAATTGTAAACTTTTCATGTGTTTTTTATAATAAAAATTTTTTATGGTCGATAAATAACAATGAGTAAAAAAGAATGAGAAATTTAATTTAAGGTACAATATAACGACTGAAAAGGCTGCTTTTGTTGAAAAATAAAGGAATCTCTCTCTTTTTGTAATTAGATACAATAAAATATTTTAAGAATTTTTTTTATACTTCCGTATAATAATTACTTTTGTTGGCTAATATTTGATTTTGACCGTACACTCAGTCCGTTAATCTCACACGAAAACCAAACGAACAACGGCTTTTATTATTTTATTTATATTAATCGTTACTATTCCTCAATTGGATATTTACCATCATCCTTACTCCCATAATCGTCCGTTGTTCTTCAAGTTTACCATTTTGCCCCTTCATATTTGACTTGAATCAAGAACAAGCTAGACATTCAGCTTAAAGCAGCAAAATAACGTTTAGAATTGTCATTTAAATGCCAATTTAGATTTTATTTGGTACAACAAAATACAGTATTGATGGAGATTCGAACTTACGATTTTTTATTATAAATATATATCTTAACTAATTGAATTACGTTTAAGTTGAAAAGTAACCATATATAAAAGTATTTAAAATAGAATAACTTTATGTTTAAACAAAAACCAACCAACATACCAACTACGTCGACCAATTAATCAATTCTATTGAACATATTTTTAAGATGTTTTTATTTGGATAAAACTTAGGTACTAATTAGTAAAGTAAGTATTTTTGTACTTATCATCATATTAAATTCTTTACTGTTATTTATTTTATTTTTCTCTTTTTTTCACATTAAAAGGCAAACATATACGAAAAGAATTATAGGATTCGAGTATTTTTTTTTTCTACCATACTAATCTACTTCCAACTCAAATACTCAATTATAAGTTGTAATAAGTCTAATCTTACTTTTAAGTCTTGTTTTTGTCTTATTTTGTTTCATCTTTTGTTTATTGATTATCTCTACTTTGAAATTGAGTAATTCAGTTTGATCCATTGTACTTTAAATTTGGGTTATTTTAATCTCTTTGTACCTCCAAAATGTATACTTCTATATCTATAATTTTAAAAGGATCATTTCAGTCTCTATATTAATTTTTTTAATCATAATTTCAATATAACATGACTTTCAATAAATTTCTTTAAACACCCTAGTAAATAATCCTATTTAAAAGAATTTAGGAAAGTCTTGAAAGTATGACTAACCAGAGATTTAAACGTTTAATAACCTTTTATCGGTATTCTTTGACAAATCAGAAATAATAGTTTCTATCCTTTCCTACTCCACCGGTTCGGCCATCGGTTTGAACCTTACATTCATCTATTTTCCATATTCAAATTCGAGCCGTCGAGAGACAACGCGTACAGCATTCACTTACTGTCGGATCTGGGAGCTACATTCATTGCGACTTCAGATCCGCAAAGCTTCTGGCCGATCAATGCCGTGGCCATATGAAGTTTGTGGCAATGCCATGGCCATGTAAGCCATTTTATTCAGACGGACATCAGCTGAAAAACGATGACGTTTCTTTTTTTTTTTTTTTGGGTATTTGCTTATTACTTGTAGTTTTTGTTGGGAATGGTAGGAAGAATTGGATGAAAACGATTGTAGTGACGTGGATGAATCGCTGCTTGAAAACAATTTTGGCACGACCATGGTCCTAAATCATATATAGTCGATTGCTCCCCAAGATTAACACAACACACAACTCGGACGCATTCGTCAGAATGGATTGGAATCGAAAAACTAGCTCAAAATTTTGTAAAAAGACGGAGAAAAACATTAGAAGACATATGAAAATCTTTTTTTTTTTAATTCTCTATATCCTTCTTAATCAGAAAACCCATATATATTGGTGGAAAATATTAAACGTAATTAGTAGACTCAATTAATTTATAACCGTTACAACAATTATAAATTAATGTCATGAAAACCTAATGTTTAAGTATAAAATAATAATTATTAAAATACAATAAACATAGTCTCCAAACAACTACTTTACTTTGTAAGACATAAGTTTCCTTGGTCATTCCCGACAATTTTAAATAAATTATGGTGATAAAGTTTGATAATGTAGTATTTCATGAGAGATGGATTATGGTGATAAAGTTTGATAATGTAGTATTTCATGAGAGATGGTTGTGTTACACACTGTTGTTTGATAATAAATAACGTCGTCGTTTTCCAGTGCTATGGTATCTCTACCTAAGATTGATTGTGTTTGGTTTAATTGAATTTTGCTTGCAAAATTATTACCCTCCAACGCGTGTTTGTACGAGGTAATATCATTGTTTCCTTTTTAACATAGTCCGAGGATTCCAAGAATTTAAAATCCATTTGATTACGTTTGCTTTTTTTATAAATAGAAATAAAATTACACTAATAATTATTTCTTTCTTTTTTGTTATATTGAAAAAAGAAACATAAATATGTTTCTCTCGTTTCAATTTTAAAATGAAAAATCTGTATATGAAAATTAAATTTTAAATTAAATATTTACATTTTTATCTCATATACTTATTTTTTTAATATTTATTATGCATTTTTGTTAATAAAAATGATAAAATAGTGCTTCTATTTATGTTTTGAAAAAACTAGGAGTGGAAACAGTGAATTTGATTTTGTTATCAAAATTTTTATACAATTTTAGAAAAAAACAAGTTAGGAGTGAGAAACGAGAAACGTAATAATTATAAAACGTTTATGTTTCTCAAAAATGGTAAACTAGAAATAATAAACAATCAACTCGATATTAAAAATGTGATGGGTTGCTTCTAAATCTCTATTTTAAATGTGGACGGACGTATCAACATAAAGCATGCTTTTTTCAAATCAATATAGATAAATAAAATAATAATAAATCGAGATTATAACTCTTAAACAAGTGAAAATTAAAAAAAAAAAATCAACTCAACCCAAGTAAATTTCTAACTCCAATGGCCCAAAAGTTTAAATAGGGTGGATTAAGTTCTTGAATCCTTAATTTGTGAAGTCTAAACATCAAATTTATTGGTTAATTTACAATAGTTTTTGCATCATAAGCCATTTCAAATGTTTGAAGGTAAATATTTTAGAGTTTAAAAGACTTTTTAAACCTCTACTTGAAAAAAAAAAACTTTAAATTTAATTTTAGTTTAAATACTATTGTAGTCGTTTGTACTTTCAATTTTTGTTTATTTTAGTTTTTATATTTCAAACGTTTATTTTTGTCATTATACTTTTGAAAGTGACCATGGTCTCTATTTAAAGTTAAAATATTGGACCAAAATAAACGTATGATTTTAAAAATATAAGGATCAAAATGGATAAAAGCTAAAATATAAAGACCAAAATGAAACAGAGTGAACAAAAGTTAAAAACACATAACTAAAATAGTATTTAAACTTAAAATCAATAAAATTTAATTTGTGCTACTCTTTATTTGGAGAGGATATGGTCATATAAAAATGGGTAGCTCAAGCAATCCCAATGTTTCAAGCCTTTGAAGCTAAGGGGGATCAATGAGATCTTTTCAACTAAAAAAGATACTAAAATCAATTCAGATCGGATTTTCTCATTAAATGTTGATTGAAATTTCGTGCTACTCATATTTAATTACATCACTAATATCTAAAAGCACAGACAAAGCTACATTGGGGCCAGAAGGCATGTGCCCCACTATCTTTATTCCCTTTTTAATAATTATTTTGTAAAAATATATATCTTTCCATAATTTTCCATTTCTATAATTTTTAAATAATATATACATAAAAATTAAAATTTACACTCTTATTTGAGAAAATTGTAAGGTTGGTTCAAGTAGTACTCAGCCTAGCGTTTGAATTAACTTCCTAAACGATTTTAGAGGATAATCAAATGTTTTTTTTATTTATAGTATTTGGTAAGATATAAAATAATTTTTTTGAAAAAATCAAGATAAAGTCAAACTTGATACATAAGCTATGTAATAAACATGGTCCGAATTAGAAAAGAGAAGGAAACAGGCCCAGATCTATAAATAGAGAATAGGGCTTGTCCAACTAAGGGTCAAAGCCACGTTGACTAAGGCCACAGTCAACCAGGTGTCGATCGACAACTGGTTGGCACCAAAACAAGTTCTCAATCGCCAGCCAACCAGTGCGCAGCGACTGTCCGACGTTTTACCACGATGAGTCTCAATCCATCTTGACCTTGTAAGATTTTGCAATGAGCCAATAACCTTTTCCATCTGACGTCTGCCCACAATAATATTTACATTGAAGTCCAAGAATGTGTGTTTTCTAGGAGCATGAGGATTCAAACAACCCTGTAAATAGAAAGATATGGTGAACTCTAGATGTATGCAAATTAACCCTACTCTTAATTATACAACTTTCAACCTCCGATTATAACTTAAGCATCGGAGAGCGTGTGACTACATGAGTGTTCAAGGTTCTTTGTTTTGCAGGTCAACATCGAATCTCTATCGTTCGATATTTGGTCAACAGGTCTAGCCGAATTTCTTCATCAACAAGTACAAAAATATAAAAACAATAAATAAAATTGAATGTTTATGAAAATTTGAGAATGAAAAGAAGGATATTTAGGCCCGTTCAATAAATTTTCTATTTTTTGTTTCTAGTCTCTAATTTTAACAAGAGACCTAATTATTTGACAATAGGTTCTTTGTTTCTATTTTTTTTTTTTGAAACATTTTCAAAATTATATAGAAATTTTGTTTTTTTTTTCTATTTTCAATTTGTTCTAAAATTTAGTTTTAAGGTTTTTTTTTATTAAAAGGAAGTAAACAGAATCAATAAATCAAAACTTTAAATCTTTAAATATGGCCCACATAACCTCTTTTTCATTTTTCTAATTTTTATTAGTACAGATTACATTATTCCTCAACATAAAAAATAATCAATAAATATTTATTTTATGTACATATACAGCACGATATGTAATATTTATACCCATCAATCAAATTCCAGGATCCAAATAGGAAAGTTCCTAACATATTCAGTCCGTATCTTAAACTTCCATGTGTTTTTAAAAATGAAATTTCACACATAGAATACAGAGATATGACAGTTGAAGCAAACCACGACACCGACCTTTAACGCCACTCTAATTCCATCCAAACGTGTCTTTATAACATCATACCAAAAAAAGCAGTTGAATGCAATAATATGCCAATCGAAGCCAGCCTGTATTGCCACGTCGGATTTCAAATTTTTAACTTTTTTTAATGAATCATTATATTAACAAGAAATTAATACAACTTTCTATGGGGAGAAGAGAAAAAAAAAAAAAAGACACCGAGCACACAGACAGAGACCGGCAAATTTTTTGTCAGTGAAGCTCCGGATTTTCCATAAACGTCGTCGTCATGTATTCCCTCACCTCCCTTGCTATCACGTCCCTCATTGCATCCCAAAACCCCACCGGCAGACTCTCGATCCGCCGGTCGTCCACCGCCGCGGCTCTAGGGTCGGCCCCGCCGATCCCCGGCGGTGCCAGAGTCAAAGCGGTCAACGGGTCATCCTCCAGATCAGGTACGGACAGCTTCAAGTCGCTGGGGAGGTTCACGGAATTTCCATGATTTTCAGGGGCAATTCCGTCCATAACTAATTGCTGCTGTCGTTCCCTCGCCCTTCGCTTTAGCGTCGAGTTCCAATGATTCTTAACGGCATTATCGGTCCGGCCCGGAAGCAACCGCGCAATGGTGGCCCACCGGTTGCCGAACCGGGCATGCGCGGCCAAAATGGTCTCATCCTCCGTCGGAGAAAATGGCCGGTGCTCCACACTCGGGCTCAGCTGGTTACACCACCGGAGCCGGCACGATTTCCCGGACCGGCCCTTAATATACCGGCTAATCAACGACCAATTTCTCGGCCCGTACCGGCCGACGAGCTGGGTTAAAATCCGGTCCTCCTCCGCGCTCCACGGCCCTTTGATCTTCTCCGGCCGCCTCGACGCCTTGCCGGAGAATGAAGAATCCGACGACGTAGAATCAGACGAGGAAGAAGAAGAGGAGCTCCTCATCAATGCTTCCATAGAAAATTCTCAACGGCAAAAAGATTTTAAAAGAAGAAAAGGTACAGATTTGAAGAAACCGTTTGAAGGTGGGGAGTGAGAAATGGATTAGGATCAATGGGGAAGGGAATTGTTTGGGGTTTTATATAGAAGGAGAGAGAAAGGGGAGGAGAGAGAGATGCATGCATCTGTGTGGGGCGCCCAATCCAATGGCTTTTGTGGTAAAGAGGGAGCTTCCAGGAAACTGGGCTCTGTAAAGTAGGTGGGGAGTACGTACTAGATCTGTGTACCCTCTCTCCTTATTCTTTGTTTTTTCTTTTCTTTTCTTTAATAAATATATTTTTCTTTTCTGTGAGCCAATTTGCCGCAGTGTGATTCTGCTTTGTCTGGATTTGTTCTTTCTCCAGATCTCGGTTTTGCCCCTGTAGTCGCACTATTATTGGCGAGGAAGTTTCATTTCTACTTTGAAACATGTACACGTATTAAATAATTTTTGCCCCTTTAGTGCACATTTCAAAATATCAAATACTTTTTCTTAAATGGCAAATTCTAGTCCGTATATTTTTCAACTTTAGTTTTAATTTTAGGTTGTACCGATCAAATGGCTTAACAATGTGAATTTGAGTCATGTTAAAGAGAGAAAGCTAAGCTACCACTAATTTATTATAGAATTTAAGTTTACAACACTCGGTGGATTTCTCGAATTTCTTAGAAATTCAGCTACCAATAGTATTTTACCTTAGATTACTTTTTTTAATTTCCTTCATAGTAAAATTTAAACAAATGATAAAGATGATAATAAAACTTTGATAGTATTTTGAATTACGGAGATTAAAATTGTAATTTAACTCTTAATTTTACACAATATAAGAAAATTATGGCCTAAATAGAAAAGGAGTTCATCCTAATATGGATGATGAAATTTTATTTATAAAATATAGAAATAAAGGCAAAAATAGATTTCCTGCCTCATTCCAATTATTTTTCTATTTCCAAATTATTTTATATCGCCAACAATTATTAAAAAAGAAAAAGTTTCGACCTATATATTGATATTATAATAATACAATTTTCTAAACTTAAATATTTAAATTAATAAATGGTTTAAATTGATATTTTAAATAGGGGCAAGAGTGGAAATTGAATGGAACCTTTCAATCTCGGAAGATAAGGAAGATAATAATAAAATCATTCCCTAAGACCCTCACGCAGAATGAGTGGCGCTTGCCGCTTATGGGTGTGGCGTTTAGGACATGACAGTACAGCTAGAGCTGTTTAACACAAAACATTAACGTTTTTTAAAAAAATTCACCAACCAGGGCCTACCATCTTTGACTACTTTCTCACATTTTACAGCTGTAAATTCCAAATTCAACTTCCCCTACATTCACCTCTCCTGCCAGTCCCAGGTAACAAAATCCCTTCATAATTCATTACAACTATACTTTCTTCATCTTTAAAATTTAAAGTTCTAAAATAAAATTAACCCTTTATATTTTAAAAGGGGACTTTTGAAAGAATAAACTGCAAACCAACAAAGAAAATATTGGTAAATGTATGGTTTTCAAAAACAGAAGAAACAAAGTTATGAAATTGACCTTAGGTAACAAATTTTGTTATTATTTTAAGAGATTATATGGACTTTTTTTAAAATCATATTTTTATGTTCTTGACGTGACTCCAACTCGACCATTCTAAAATTACCGTGGACATCCCAAAAAGATATATTCAATTGAGTAAATTACTGAAACAAAAATGAATAAAATAAAACTTATAATAATGATTAGATTAAAAACATGATTAATTAAATAAAGCTAGCTAATTTTAAAATACGGCATGAACATCTTCCACGCCAGATGGACCCACACCAGGCTGGAAAGAATCTCACGTGAATCGAGTTGAATCCCTTTGACCTTTCGAGCCTATCCCAACGGACTATTCATTCCCATTTCCCACTCCCTTCCAGTGTGGCGTAAATCACACGTGCCTGGGAAATCGTTCGTTTTGAAGATCGTGTGTCTCACGCTCCTGTGATGGCACGTGCTGCATTTCTTCGCTTGTAATTTTGACGGACCCGATCAGATCAATGAGCAACCCACGTGGCAGTTCTTGCAGTCCATTGGAGCGTGATTCGAGTTTTGCGAGGCAGTTGAGCGGTTAAGGCTATATAAAATAATATAATCCAGCTGGCAGCTCACTGTAGCTCACCGACTTGTAGACTGTAGTGTCCCCCACACTGGCAATTTCTGACGTGGATTTTAAAATTTTCCTATGGGCAGTGTGAATTTTTTTTCTAATCAAAATTATATGACAAATATTTGACCTTACTTATTTTTAGGGAATAATTCATTTTTCTGCCCTGTCAAGTGTCAACTTGCTTCTGTTTGAACGTTATAATTTTAAATTTTAAATTTTATCAAATCCTAAACTTAAATTAATCTATATTTAGTTTAGGAAAATTACTAATGGAATAACCAATAAATTCAATAAACATCTGTCAAAATACTGAAGATCGAGCAAAAAAACAATCCCTCATTCGATCATGAAATTACCAAAATCTATCTACAAAATTTAAAAATATATTTAAAAAGTTCTAAAACTCAACACTAAAATGTTGAAATTGAGCTTAAAAAAACCATCCAACAAAACTTTAAAAAATCAATTTCCAAAAAAAAAAAGTATTTTCTACTCATAAGGGTTTTCATTGCTTAAAAAAGAAGGTAAACTTAACTAATTGAAGCTATTAATCACACATTTAATTCAAGTTAAGGGTTGTTTAAAATTTACAAGTACAAGGTTAAAATAAAAATCCTAGTTTTTTTAAATGATATTTAGTAATATTATACATATATAAATACATTTATTTTATGAGAAGATAAACTTGTAACTAAAAATGGATGCAGTTACATTTGTGGAGATGTCGCTCATAAAAATATAAGGAAAAGATCATACCTGGCTAAAGAAATGAGTCCTGTTTACCGAAATATTAGCGGTTTGTTGAGGGAGATACAAGAAGGAAATAGATTCAAAAGTTACAGCAAGGCTTTGGATGTCAACTAGCAACAATTTGATTAATCACCTAGGATCGTACATATTGAAATTATTATTTATAAATTTATAATTTTGAAACGAAAATAATTAAATTTGTTCTATAAATATAGTATGCATGAAAATACGTTAAAATAGAATAATATTTTATATATTCTCACTAAACTTCTTATTCTTCAAGAATATTGTAATTGCCAAACGAAACAACATATAGATTTTTTTGAAATTTCTCAAAAGTAAAAAAATAAAAAATAAAAAAAACCATCAATTGTTACAGGGTAACTTCCCACCATTTTCTGCCATAGCAGAGACAAACGGCTCTAAAACACATGGGCGAGCACAAAAATTCAAAATTGGACGACCAAAACTTTACCAAAAGCGTAAATATAAATTATAATAAAATTGAAAAAGAACAGCTACTTTTGAGGTTAAGCTTGTATAATTTTGTTTTTCGACTATATCTAGTAATTTTTTTCTTGCAAAATTAGACATATGTAAAACAAAAGCCTAAATAACTAAATTGAAACGAGTATTAGGACAGTTGGAGGAGAAATATTCAATTTCATCAATTCTCCAAATCTAAATGCTACATCACTTAATTATAAAACATAACCTTACAAAGTTAACGATATCTTGCTAAAGCGAGCATAGTTTAGCGGTAATTAGCATATATCTTTCAACTAAGAGATTGTGAGTTTGATCTCCCACCTCCATACGTTGTACTAAAAAAACAATACCTGGCGTGGACTAACCAAATTAAAATAACTCTTCTAATTATATAAGTATACACGTTCTAAACTAAAATAAAATCTATATCCTCACTTTTTTTTAGTACAACATGTGGAGGTAGGGATCGGTTTCACAACCTCTTGGTTAGAAATATATGACAATTACCATTGAGCTATGCTCGTTTCAACTGAGATCCTCACTTATTACTGGTTAAAATACTTTTAGTAAAATAACAAGTTTAGTCCATAAACATTGTGCCTAATAAGACATTCAACTTTAAGAAGTATCTTAAGTTCTTTAAGATCTGTGTGGCAACGTTTATGTTTCTCATTTTTTAGAAACAGAGACATATTTGGTAATTTAATTTCTCGTTTCTAAAATTTGAGAAATATTTCTAAAAAATGGGCAAAGTTTTGGAAACTACGAAAAGTAGTTTTGTTCTTTT